GCAGCTGGGACCACAGGCATGTGCCACCACGCCTGAATAATTTTTAATTTTTTTGTAGAGACGGGGTCTCCCTATGTTGCCCAGGCAGATCTAAAACTCTTAGGCTCAAGCCATCCTCCCACCTTGGCCTCCTAAAGTTCTCAGATTACAGGAGTGAGCCATTGCTCCTGGCTCTACTTTCTAATGCATTCCAACACAACAATTTCTTTTTTTTCCTTCTGGGTTTTGGTTTCGTTCTTAGAAATGCCTTCTTCATGCCAAGATGGCATTACAGTGTTGGCAAGATAAGACAAGAGGTAAAGATAGATTTTAAAATTATTTTTACATTACTTTTTTTCCTTTGAGAGTTCTCGCTGTGTTGCCCAGGCTAGTGTGCAGTGGCACAATCACAGCTCATTGAATGGCCTCGACTTCCCAAGCTTCAAATGATCCTTCCACCTCAGCCTCCCAAGCAACTGGGACCACAGGCATGTACCACCCTGCCTGAATAATTTTTTTTTTTTTTCTGGTAAAGACAGTGTCTCCCTATGTTGCCAAGGCTGGTCTCGAACTCTTGGGCTCAAGCAATCCTCCTCCTGCCTTGGTCTCCCAAAGTGCTGGGATTACAGGCATGAGCCACTGCTCCTGGCCACTTATTTTTACAGTGTTTGACATTTTCATAATTTGTACATTACCTTAAAAATAATTTTTTAGGCTGGGCACAGTTACTCACACCTGTAATGCCAGCACTTTGCGGGGCTGAGGTGGGAAGACTGCCTGAGGCTCAGGTTCAAGACCAGTTTGGGCAACAAAGTGAGATACAGTCAGTCTCTACCAAAAAAAAAAAAAAATTAAGGTGTTTTTTGTTGTTGTTATCTCCTACAGGAAGGAGAAAATTTTTTTTTTTAATTAACCAGGTGTGGTAGCATGCACGGAGGATGAGGCAGGAGGATCACTTGGGGCCAGGAGTTCAAAGGCTGCAGTGAGCTATGATTATGCCACTGCACTACAGCCTGGGACACAGAGGGAGGCCTTGTGTCTTAAAAAAGAAAGAAAAACAATTTCTTTAAAGAAGACATTCTGGTCATTTCCCACTGCAAAATATTGACCCAATAATTTATTCTGACACTTTTATAATTTTAGTAGCCAAATTTAATTTTTTTTTTTGAGACAAGGTCTCGTCCTGTCACCCAGTTTGGAGTATGCTGGTGCAATGACAGTTCACTGCAACCTCAGCCTCCTGGGCTCAAGCAATCTTCCTGCCTCAGCCTCCTGAGTAGCTGCGACTATAGGCATGCAACACTACACATGGCTAATTTTTTCTTTTTTTTAGAGATGGGATCTCACTATGTTGCCCACGCTGGTCTCAAACTCCTGGACTCAAGCAAAATCCTCCCACCATGGCCCCCAAAGTGCTGAGATTACAGACATGAGCCACCATGCCTGGCCATCAGTGAATTTTTTTAAATTCTCAGAAAACTGAATGTTGGTTCAGGCTGTATATAGCTATACAACTGAAATGTACAGAGAAAAATAAAAAATTAAGTCTGATCCTAAATCAAAACCTAATTAGTATGGTTTTCAGCATAGTATTTATTTTTATTTTCTTTTTTCTTTTCAGCATAATACTTTAATTTTTAAAAAAATCATTAAGGAGGCCAGGTGCAGTGGCTCACTCCTGTAATGCCAGCACTTTGGGAGGCCAAGATCACCCGAGTTCAGGAGTTCAAGACCAGCCTGGCCAACAAGGTAATAAAACCCCATCTCTACTAAAAATTCAAAAATTAGCTGGGCGTGATGGCAGGCACCTATAATCCCAGCTACTTGGTAGGCTGAGGCAGGAGAATCACTTGACCCCAGGAGGCAGAGGTTGCAGTGAGCTGAGATTGTGCCTATGCACTCCAGCCCAGGCAACAGAGCAAGACTGTTTCAAAAAAAAAAAAAAAATCATTAAGACAGTGAAACCTATACATAGAACATACTACTGAAACACTTCACCCAGACAAAGCTTAACTCTATGGCAGACTTTGTATTTGGAAAAAACACAAAATAGACCTTCAGTAGTTAAAATAAAAAGATCATAAACTTCATTCTTTTTTTTTAGAGATGGAGTCTCACTACATTGCCCTGGCCAGTCTTGAAGTCCTGGACTCAAGAGACCCTCCCAGCTTGGCCTCCCAAACTGTTGGGATTACAGGTATGAGCTACCACGCCTGGCCATAAACTTCATTCTTTAGAATAAGAACCCAGCCCCGTCTCTATTTCCTTTCACTCTGTATAGAGTTCTAGAATTTTCTTTTAAGAGATGATTTTGCTGCCCAGGCTGGAGTGCAGTATTCACAGGCACAACCACAGCTAGCACACTACAACCTCCAACTTCTGGACTCAAACCATCTTCCTGCCTCAGATTCCTGGGTAGCTACGATGGGACTACAGGCATATATCACTCCATCTGACTTACAATTCTTTCACTTCATCTTATCAGCTTTTATACCAAAATGGTTGCACGGCCTTGGAGAGAAAACTTCAGAATCCAAGCCATTGCAATCACATGCCACATAAAGTTTCAGTCAACAACCGACTGCAGACACAAAGGTGGCCCCCATAAGATTATAATAGAGCTGAAAAGTTCCTATTAGCTAGTGACACTGTAGTCCAATTACTTTATTTTTTTAACATTAATTTAGAGTAGACTAAGTATACACTGTTTATAACGTCTACAGTAGTGTACAGTGATGTCTCAGGCCTTCACATTCACTCACCACTCACTCACTGACTTACCAGAGCAACTTCCAGTCCTAAAAGTTCCATTCACAGTAAGTGCCCTATACAGGTGTACCATTTCTTATCTTTTATACTGTATTTGTACTGTACCTTTTCTATGTTTAGATGAAGCTTGCCCAATGCACAGCCAGTGGGCCGCATGTGGCCTAGGTCAGCTTTGAGTTACTTCTTTTTTTTTTCTTTTTGTGAAGAATGGGGTCTCACTTTATCACCCAGGGAGGCCTCGAACTCCTGTGTTCAAGCTATCCTCCCACCTCTGTCTCCCTAAGAGCTGGGATTACAGGCATGAGACACCGCACCTGGTCCCCAGAACATCTTTGAATGCAACCCAACAGAAATGCATTAACTTTCTTAAAACATTATGAGATTTTTTTTCCTCAGCTTATCAGCTATCGTTAGTGTATTTTATGTGTGGCCCAAGACAATTTATCTTCTTCCAATGCGGCCCAGGGAAGCCAAAAGATTGGACACCCCTGGTTTAGATACACAAGTACTTACTATCGTCTTACAACTGCCTACAGTACTCAGTAAAGTAACATGCTGTATGAGTTTGTAGCCTAAAAGCAATAGGCTATCATATAACCTAGGTGTGTAGTAGATTATACCATCCAGGCTTGTATAAGTATACTCTCTGATGTTCCCACAAGCATGAAATCACCTAATGCGTTTCTCAGAACATATCCCTGTCATTAAGCAACACATGACTGTATTTTGTAGGGTTCTCATTTTTATTGAACTGTCAATTGTTTTACATATTTTTAGTCATCTTTCCTTCTCATACACCTCACTAGACATTCCCAACTTCTGTTTAGACTTTCTACATAAAAGCTACCACTCCTATCACTTACCCTCAGCAAACGAACTCACCTCCTCATTCATGACATTCGTTCTTACAAACTTACCTATATTAATGACTTGTTTTGTTTTGAGATAGGCTCTCCCTCTGTTGCCCAGGCTGGAGTGCAGTGGCACAATAACAGCTCACTGCAGGCTCTGACCTCCCGGTCTCAAGCAATCCTCTCACCTCAGCCTCCCGAGTAGCTGGGATGACAGGCAGGCACCACCATGCCTGGATAATTTTTTCTACTTTTTGTAGAGACGGGGGTCTCACTTATGTTGCCTAGGCTGGTCTCGAACTCCTGCGCTCAAGCAATCCTCCTGCTTCAGCTTTCCAAAGTGTTGGAATTATGGGTGTGAGCCCTGCGCCTTTATATCTTTAATTCTTTCATTCTGATCTTAGAAGATTTCTTTCCCCAACTCCAATATAAGGATAATACCTTAATTTATGCACGGTGAAGGAGGAAAGACCAAAAACAGGCAAGACTCATCAACTCATGTTCCTGCTCAGGGACCTTGTTCCAAAACTTATTTCCCACCTCACTTGGATATTCAACCTCACTCTCTTGGTTTCTGCCATTCAGCCAACAAATATATTCTAATGTCTTCCACTCTTTAAAAAAAAAAAAAATTCATATTTTACCCTTTCTATTCTCTCCCTTCCCTGCTTATGGAGCAGTCAATATTCCTACTTCCTTACTTTCCACTCATTTCATAACCTCATCTCCTAATGCTTTATGATTGTGCCTTTATCTGAAGCTATTACAAAAATTAACACAGTCATACTGTACCACACCAAACAAGCAGAAGAGGGAAATTTACGATTCCACAAATACTACCATTTTGTCTATGACTATGCCTACTGATGGAAATTTGAACTGCAAGAGAGGTGTAATTATGAAATTCTCCTTGGCTTTAAAGTGCAGAAAATTGGAAATCGTAAACAGTAAGCTTCCTAAAATTTTCACAAGTTGGGCAGGGGATAAGTATCTTATATTTATGTGTGCAATTATATTGCTTTAAAAAGTTTCTCCAGCCCAGGCAATATATCAAGACCTCATCTATACAAAAAATTAGCTAGGCACAGGTGGCATGCACCTGTAGTCCCAGCTACTCAGGAGGCTGAGATGGAAAGACTGCTTAAGCCCAGGGGTTCAAGGTTGCAGTAAGCTATGATCACCACTGCACTCCAGCCTGGGCAACAGAGTAAGATCCTGTCTCCACAAAAAAAGTTTCTTATATGTATATGCTAATACAGTGTTTAAAAGGAAGAAAAGCCAGGTGCAGTGGCATATGCCTGTAGTCTCAGCTAATCAGTAGACTGAGGCAGGAGGATAGCTTGAGCCCAGAAGTTCAAGACCAGACTGGGCAAAATAGCAAGACCCCATCTAATTTTTTTTATTTTAATAAAAAGAATAATTTATTCTTTTATCTCCACTGAAGACTAGAATAGAGTCCTGGGACTGACTTTCACTCTACTTCTACAGAGGCTAATAAAAAAATTAGTGTTATAATATCTTTCATTAAAATAATCCATTATCTTAAGATAGATAGCTAAGTAAAAAAGCAAGGAACTCAGAAACTAAATATCAGGTTTGAGACTTTAATTAAATTACTTAACCTTCTCACCAATAAAGCAGGGTTATACTGTACTCTACTTCACAGTTTAATTCTGAAGATTAAACAAGATAACACATAAAACTACTTAACACAGTTACAGGCACATATTTAACACTTCCCTCATCTTAGCACAATGCCATACTCCCAATAAGAAGTAAAAGTGTACCAAAAAGGAGCAATATTAAAACTGTGAACTATGTGAAACAGAAATTCTGACAAAACCACCATCTGTTCATACTAATAATCTTCAAATGAAAAGCTTCAATTAGAAGAGAAAGTTACTAAAAAACATTCAAGTATTCTGAGCCAATTCAACTAGCAAATATACTTTGATGACATTCCCAATGATTTCCTCTGAGAGATTGCATACGCGGTACAAGATTACATATGATTTAATAAAACGGACAGAGAGCACACACAAAGCTGCAGTTTCCCAGGCTGAGAAAGACACATCTAATTTGTCCTTCCTGGGGAGGAATGTATCTAAAATGAACAAAATTTCCTTAGATATACACAAAAGTAAATCAACGTATCAAAGGGATTAGGAATAAAGGGAGCTTTTTCTCTAAATCCAAAATAATAATATGCATGACCTAAATGAATCTTCTCCAAATATTTAGGGGGGAAACCCCACTTTAATTGTTAGAACTGGTGCAAAGCAGCTGGATTTAGTAGAATGCAGTCCATCAACTGCTAATTCTGGGAAAAAAAAAAAAAACTTTCTAGGGGTGGAGAAAGCAGGCAATCTTCCCCATAAAACAATTGCCATAAAACACCGTACATACATAAGAACACACACATTTGTTAAAATGTCAGTTTACACTGTTCCAGCCAACTTACAGATCAAGAGGAAGTATTTAAGGTCAAAAAAATAAATTACATTCTACTTAGGAGTTATCGACGCAGATTCAAGACAAGGAGGGCTGAATAATAAATCCAGTGTTCACATTCAAATGTGGGGGAAAGAAAAAGGCAGGCTCTGAGTCCATAAAGTTCTCCACACTCTCAAAACACAGCAAAAATAGTCCACAACTAAGGACACTTACCCTTGAAACTCCTTGGAGAGTGGCTTGGGAGACTTTCTGTTCAGATTTTTGAGGGGGAGCGATTTAAGAACGCTGCAAGATTGCAACTTTCAAACACAGGAACACAATCTAAAGTATTTTTTTCTTTCAGTAAAGATCTCTCCCTGTCCTCTTCAAACAGTTGATCAGCACTCCCATTTTCACAAAATCCCTAATTCCACTTCAAGTACAGACCCCCTCCTCTCCCACAAAAAAACAAAGCTTTAAAGAACATGCAAATAAAACACACAGATCATTTCCAATAATCCCTAACTCCTTCCCAATTGGGAAAGGAGAAACGAAGGAACACGAAGCAAAAACACCAAAACACTCGGGTAAGGAAGGCGGCGAGATGAGAAAGTAGGAAGGGGTCGGGGGAGGAGCACGGAAAAAAGTCCAGCTGATGCTGACACTTAACTGGATGGAGAGGGTGGAAAATATCTTGAAGATACCGGCTAGAAGGAAAGGACTAGATGGGACAGGGGCGCGACAGAGGAAGTTCACGCAAAAGGCCTACCCAAGAGGCCCACTGTGTAGAAGGGAACACCAAAAGGGGACAAGACTCCTCAGGAAGATTTCAATGCCCCAAAGCTTAAGAGACGGCATGGGCAGATAAGGTGCTTCTCCATTGGCAACGCGGACACCACACCAGACGTTTCGGGAGGCAAGCCTGCTGCGAGGGGTGAGGGGTTAACTGCGGGGGTTCGCAGACGTGGAAGGGGGTGCGGCCCCCGGGGTTGCTGGAGGAGAGCAGAGAGGAGGCCCACGGCGCATACCTTGTAGTAAACATCAAACTGGATGTTCTCGGGCAAGGAGCGGATGTCTCGGCGGGAGCGGATGTAGTTGTCCACGACAGCGGAGATGGCGGTGTTATAGAGAGTCTCTGGGATCCACTCTAGTTCCACGGCCGCCATCTTCCTTCCCTCCTCCTCCGCCTCCTCCGCCTCCTCCTCCCGAAGGCCCGCACCTCCCTCCGTAGCGAACCCCTCTGCGGCCCCGGAGGATTCGGAGGGGCGGTGGCAGCCACGCGGGCGCACGGCAGGAGGCACGGCCGCCCTGCCTTCTCCGAGGGCAAACTGAGGGACGGCGGCAGCGGACGCAGGCCCGAGTAAAAAGTGGGACACAAAACAGGGGCCAGCCAGGCCAAAGCCTCACATTCCGGGTTTGAGAGGAACCCGGGTTCCGTCCCAGCGCCGATCTCTGCAGGGGCGGGGCTGCGTGTGCGGCGTCATGACGTAAAAGCACGCCGACGCGCCGGAGGGGAGGAATGCGGCAGGCGGAAAACTTAGGAAGAGCTGGATTGCTCCCACGGAGAGCGTGCTTTCCAAGCGGCCCCGGAGTGGAGTGGAGTGGATAGGGGTAGACTTTTCACACGGGGCCAAATTATTACAGGATATCTGCACCCCCCCATTCCGAGTCACTCGGGCGCATCGGTTACTTCAGCAGGTTCTCTGCATCACGGACCCTTTTAAGGCTCAGGTAAAAGTTTGGATCCTCTCCCCACAAACGAGCAAAATTATCTGCACATTGAAAATTATGCATTGAGAAAATTCACATTACTCTAAAAATCCTTAGACTGCAGTTCCTAACCCAAGTTAAGAACCCGCGGTCCAGGAACTAGGGGTAACGATAGAAGAGACTTGTTTTTCTTTGTATAACCGTTTGCATGCACCGTTTTAACTTTTTGACCATGTTTCTTTATCCAAATAAAATTTCCGAAAAAAGAAAACTCCTGCCCTAGAACTTAGTAGGAAAACTAGCTTGATTATGGAATTACAAATAATAGTAAGAGAAAAAAGGCTAAGTGGTGTCCGTGATAGGACTTAATGGTGTTTCAATTCCCTTAGTTACAGTGGTGGCTTCAAGGGATTGTTGAATAATTGGGAGTACTTGTATCAACTTCTTTCCTTCCTCAGCCTGAACATCTGCTGTTTATGTAACTTAATTTCCTAAGTCTGCGATTTCAAGAATTTGATGCAACATCTTTCTGTTCTAGGAATTTAACATGGAAATTATTGGCCATAATGGTTGGTGACACTATCAAACTCATAGTCACTGTATAACGATGTGAGTCCTGAACACAGCAATAATAATAATGTCCTGGTGGATATTTAGAGCTAAAAGAAGTGGAAAGAGTTCTTTCAGTTTACCCTTCACCTGCTACTGCGGGGTTAAGTGATTAAATAATTCCACAAAAAAAATAAACACTCTTAATCTTTTTCAGTCTATATAAATTCTTGTTCTATAATCTATGAACCTAGTAAAGCTGTGGATGGCCTCAAGATCAGATTGGCAGATTTAGCAAGTAAAAAAATACAAATGCCCAGTCACATCTTAATGTCATATAACCAACAAATGGTTTTGAAATATAAGTATGTTCCATGCAATAGTTTTGCTCATGCCTTCGGAGTCACCCAAGTGTATTAGTTCATTCAGCAAATCCTTCATCACTAAGTAGACACTGGTGCTTTTGAAGCTCAGGATCCCTGCCCCACATAAAAGAATAATTATCTATTATCTCTGCAAATATTGCAGGGAACATATTTATACTAAAAACTTATTGTAACCAGCCTGGGCAACATAGCAAGCCCCCCATCTCTACAAAAAAATTTAAAAATAGCCACGTGTGGTGGTGTGCACCTGTAGTCCTAGCTACTCAGGAGGCTGAGACAGGAGGATTACTTGAGCCCAGGATGTTGAGGCTGCAGTGAGCCACCCTGTCTCAAAAAACAACAACAACAAAAAACTTTGTTGTTCATCTGAAATTCACATTTAACTGAACATCTGTATTTTATCTAGCAATCCTACCTGAAGGGATCCATGAATCCCCTGAAATTGAATGCACATGTTCTTGGACATTTTGGCTAAATCAGGATCTGTACTAAGGTCCTGTAAACAGGTAAAGGTGTGTCAGACACCCATATTGATTGCTATATGGACCTTAGATGCTGAGTATATTAGTCCATTTACACGCTGCTGATAAAGACATACCTGAGACTGGGCAATTTACAAAAGAAGGAGATTTATTGGGCTAACAGTTCCACACAGCTGAGGAGCCCTCACAATCATGGCGGAAGGCAAGGAGGAGCAAGTACACATCTTATGTGGATGGTAGCAGGCAAAGAGAGACAAGCAAAAGGGGTTTCTCCTTATAAAACCAGCAGATCTCATGAGACTTACTACCACAAAACAGTATGGGAGAAACCACCCCCATGATTCAGTGATCTCCCACTGGGTCGCTACCACAACACGTGGGAATGATCAGAGTACAATTCAAGATGAGATTTGGGTGGGGACACAGAGCCAAACCATATATCACTGAGTTAGACATTAAAAAATGTATATAGTCACAAAGGGGACTCTGGATGAAAGGGCCTCTTAATCCCTTCTTCACTGCTTTCAGATTGAAAGTTATTCAGATGTGTGTGATGGACTAGGAGGTCCTGACCAAGAGCAGACAAACTGCCGGAAAGGATAAGGCCCCTGAGAAGGACTTAGTCCTGGCAGTATTCATCACCTTCTAACTGAAGAGCCCTTGGGCCCTAAATAACCAGCAGATATACCCGGGTACTACGTTGAGGACCTTGGGTGAGCCTCTGAGACTTGTTGGCTTCAGGTGCCAGCATGGCCATAGAGGGGTAGAGCACCAAGTGGGCCTTTGGGGTTGGTTCTTGATTCCAGGACTGGACTCCTAAATGGCATTTCTGACCTGCCCTGGTCCAGAATAGAGCCCACTGCCCTGACGGGTGAGTCTCTGGCCAGACAGCATTCACCACACACTGACTTGAGAGCCCCTGGGCCTTAAGGAAACATCGGTGGTAGCCTGGCAGTACTCCCTGTGGCCTGTGGTGGTGGTGGCTACAGAAGCCACCACCTTTCTTTTGGAAAGAAAAGGGAAGAGTAGGAAGGACTGTGTCTTATGGTTTGAGAGCCAGCTCAGCTGCAGTACAATAGAACACCACGTAGACTTCTGAGATTTTTTACTCTAGTCCATGACTCCTGGAGTATACTTCTGGACCTACCCAGGGCCTGGGGGAACTCGCCACCCTGAAGGGAAGGACACATGCCTGGATAGCTTTGCCACCTGCTAATTGTAGAGCCCCAGGGCCTTCAGTGAACATAGGCAGTAGCCAGGGAGTGGTTACAGCAGGTCTTGGGTGAGACCCAATGCTATGCTGGCTTCATCTCTAACGCAGTCCAGTCATAGTGGTGGTGGCCACAGGGGTACTTCTGTCACTCCACTCCCAACTTTATGTGGCTCAGAACAGAGAGAGAAATTCCATTTGTTTGGGAGAAAGTAAGGTAAGAGAACAAGAGTCTCTGCCCGGTAATCCAGAGAATTTCTCCCAGATGCTGTCCTTGACCGTCAAGGTGGTACCTCTAAGAGTCTGTAAGAACTTCAAAGAACTATGGTGTTACTGGGTTTGGGGTAATCCCTCCCACAGCTCCAGGCAGCTCAGCACAGAGAGAGACTGTGTGTGTTTAAGGAATGTAAGGGAAGAGAACAAGAGTTTCTGCCTGTAATCCAGGGATTTTCCTTGGATGTTACCCGAGAACACCAAGGTGATACCTCTATAAGTCTGCAAGAACCATAGCATTACTGGGCTTGGGGTGCCTCCTAAAGCAGATACAGCTTAGATCACAGTAGTGAAGTCCTTTGAAATATCTGGAAAGCCTTCCCAAGAAGGATGAGTACAAACAAGCCCATACAGTGAAGACTCTGATAATATCCAACTCTTCAATGCCCAGACACTGAAGAACATCTATAGCATCAGCACCATCCAGGAAAACATGGCCTCACCAAATAAACTAAAGAAACCGGCCGGGCCGGGCGCGGTGGCTCAAGCCTGTAATCCCAGCACTTTGGGAGGCCGAGACGGGCGGATCACGAGGTCAGGAGATCGAGACCATCCTGGCTAACACGGTGAAACCCCGTCTCTACTAAAAAATACAAAAAACTAGCCGGGCGAGGTGGCGGGCGCCTGTAGTCCCAGCCTCCGGGAGGCTGAGGCCGGAGAATGGCGTGAACCCAGGAGGCGGAGCTTGCAGTGAGCTGAGATCCGGCCACGGCACTCCAACCTGGGCGGCAGAGCGAGACTCCGCCTCAAAAAAAAAAAAAAAAAAAAAAAACCGGCGGGGGGGGGGGGCCCACACCTGTAATCCCAGCAGTTTGGGAGGTCGAGGTGGGCAGATCACCCAAGGTCAGGAGTTTGAGACCAGTCTCAACATGGAGAAGCCCTGTCTCTACTAAAAATACAAAATTTGCTGGGTGTGGTGGTGCATGCCTGTAATCCCAGCTACTGGAGAAGCTGAGGCAGGAGAATTGTTTGAACCTGGGAGGTGAAGGTTGTGGTGAGCTGAGATCACGCCATTGTGCTCCAGCCTGGGCAACGAGAGTGAAACTCTGTCTCAAAAAAAGAAAAAAGAAAGAAACCACCAGAGACCAGTCCTAGAGAAACAGAACTATGAGACCTTTCAGAGAATTCAAAATAGCCATGTTGAAGAAACTCAAAGAAATTCAAGATAACAGAAAGAAGGAATTCAGAATTCTATCAGAAAAATTTAACAAATAAATTGAAATAATTAAAAAGAAGCAGAAATTCTGGAGCTGAAAAATGTAATTAGCATACTGAAGAAAGCATCTGAATCCTTTTTTTTTTTTTTTGAGGCAAGGCCACACTCTGTTACCCAGGCTGGAATGCAGTGGCAGGATATCAGCTCACTACAGCCTCAGTCTCACAGGCTCAAGCAATCTTCCTGCCTCAGTTCCCTGAGTAGCTGAGACTACAGGTGTGTACCACCATGCTTGGCTTGTATTTTTTTGTAGAGATAGAGTTTTTGCTATGTTTCCCAGGCTGGTCTTGAACTCCTGGGCTCAAGTGATCTATCTGCTTCAGCCTTTCAAAGTTCTGGGATTATAGGTGTGAACCACCACACCCAGCCTCGAGTCTTTTAGTAGCAGAATTGTTCAAGCAGAAGAAAGAATTAGTGAGCTTGAAGACAGGCTATTTGAAAATACATGATCAGAGGAGACAAAAGAAAAAGGAATTAAAAATAATGAAGCATGCCTACAAGATCTAGAAAATAGCCTCAAAGGGCAAATCTAAGAGTTATTGACCTTACAGAGGAGGTAGAGAAAGAGATTGAGTAGAAAGTGTATTCAAAGGGATAATAACTGAGAACTTCCCAAACTTAGAGAAAGATACCAATATCCAAGTACATGAAGGTTATAGAACACCAAACAGATTTAACCCAAAGAAGACTATCTCAAAGCATTTAATAATCAAACTCCCAAAGGTTGTGGATAAATAAAGGTTTCCCTGGCAAAAGCTGAGGAATTTCAAATCAGACTTGTCCTTCAAGAAATGCTAAAGGGAGTACTTCAATGAGAAAGAAAAAGATATTAATGAGCAACAAATCATCTGAAGGTACAAAATCACTGGTAATAGTACATAAACAGAAAAACACAGAACATTATAACACTGTAACTGTGGTATAGAAACTGGCGTAGAAAGACTAAATGATGGACCAATCAAAAATAGTAACTGTGACAACTTTAAAAGACATAGACTATATAATAAGATAGAAATAACAAAAAGTTAAAAAAACAGGGATGAAGTTAAAACATAGTTTTTATTAGTTTTTTTTCTTGTTTGTTTAGGTAAATGGTGTTAAATTTTTATCAGATTATAATAATGGGTTATAAGATCGTATTTGCAAGCCTCATGGTAGCCTCACACCAAAAAGCAAACAATGGATACACAAAAAATAAAAAGCAAGTAACTAAATAATATTGTCAGAGGAAATCACTTTCACTAGAGGAAAACACAGGGAGGAAACAAGACTACAAAGCAATTAGAAAACAAAGTGACAGGAATAAGTTCTTATCAATAGTAATATCAAATGTAAATGGACTAAACTCTTCAATAAAAAGACACAAAGTGGCTGAATGGGTGAAAAAACAAGACCCATTGATCTGTTGCCTACAAGAAACACACTACACCTATAAAGACACACATAAACTAAAAGTAAAGAGTTGGAAAAAGATATTCCATGCCAATGGAAACCAAAAAAAGAGCAAGAGTAGTCAATGGGATATCATCTCACTCCAGTTAAAATGGCTTCTATCCAAAAGACAGACAATAACAAATGCTGGCAAGGATATAGAGAAAAGGGAACCCTCATACACTGTTGGTGGGAATGTAAATTAGTACAACAACTATGGAGAATGGTTTGGAGGTTCCTCAAAAAACTATAACTAGAGCTACTGTGTGATCCAGCAATCCCATTGCTGGGTATAGACTCCAAAGAATGGAAATCAGTATTTCAAAGAGATACCTGCACTCCCATGTTTGTTACAGCTCTGTTCACAATAGCTAAGATTTAGAAGCAACCTAAGTGTTCATCAGCAGATGAATGGATAAAGAA